AAGGGAACTTGTTGTCTAGCTTGAGATATAATTAATGCCTATCTGTATAAAAGCTATAAACACAACACAAGGGAGTGTGTTATGAATGACAGAAAGTGTGCTATAGAAATTCAGAAATGGGGGGAAAAGTTAGGGTGGGTTTGGTACTTGAATTAGGTTATTTTCCAAAGGTCAAGGTTCAGGCAATTTGTTTATTTTTGATGTACAGTTATGCTGGTGTTTTACTTGGTTTTAGCATATGATTTATAGTTATTTGTTTATTTGTTCATTTGTTTTTTTCAAGAAAAAGCCTTGTTCTTCACTTGAAAACAATCTGATCTATTGTGTTTTATGTTTCACCTAAGTCACAAATAATGTGATATTCTAAAAAATGAAAGTATAACAGCAAAATAAACTACTTGACAATTTTTTAGTGACTAGTGCTTAGTTTCCTAGAATTACTGAGCTGAATTTCTGTTGTACTAAATGCACATTACCATCCTGAGGGGTATATATAAAGGGAAGAAAATATGTTTCAAATGAGTATTAGTGATTTTCATCACCTTATGAGTAAAGTAAATATCAACTTACATGGCCTCTATTTTTCCTACCCAAACCTCTCAAAGTAGCAGCTGCTTTTTCATCAAAATGTTTTTTTGTTTTTTTTTTTATTTTGGAGAGAGAGAAAAAGGGAGAGAGAGAGAGAGAGAAAGAGAGAGAGAGAGAGAGAGAGAAACATCGATAAAAGAGAACCATCAATCGACTTCCTCCTGCACGCCCTCTACTGGGAATCAAGCCCTCAAGCCCACAACCCGGGCATGTGCCCTAATTGGGAATAGAACCAACAACCTCTTGGTGCATGGGATGATGCTCAACCGAGCCACACTGACCAGGGCTCAAAGTAGCAGCTTCTTATTAGTTTAGTTTTTGTTACCACTCAAAAATATAGAATATGAAAATAATCTAGAGACTATTTAATTTTATGGATGATTTCTGTAGGTAAAGAGCTTTTGAGCATAATCTTGACTAATCTTTATTTTTGAGTTCAGTACGATTACATACTATTATACCCTAGATTAAAACATTTCCCTATTATTTTTGGAGATCCAACTCCAGTAAAGTAGTCTGTTCATAAATTAAGTTCCACATTCAGCATTGGAAGAAATACTGGATTTTGTCTTGTCACTTCTTAATTAACTAGACAATTTAATTTGGATATTATATTTTGTCTATAAAATGAAAAAGTTGGACCATGTTTTTTCCAACTGAAAGAAACAGTTTTCATTTTTTTGAAGTTTTGTGATTATTTTATGTCTTTTCATTATAGTACGTGCTTGCTATAAAGTTCCTTAGTAAAGAAAGAGAAGGCTACAGTACTCCTATTGACTGCACTGGGAGTTCTAGTTTTTGTTTTTTTTTTCAGGACATAGAATAGGACACTGGATGGCAAATAGTTTCCAGTTGAATACAGTAACACTGCAAAATTTACTGGTAGATTTTAATGTACTGTTTGGAATCTGGAGCCTTGGACTAAATTATCTCTAAGGTTCCTTCTGACCCTGTTTCAACATGACACTGTTGAACAGATATTAAAAGATGAGAAATAATCTATTTTTGCCAGTAATTTTAAGGCAGCATTTATGTAAGGTGCTGCAACCTTGAGCCCCTCCTAACCATTGTTAAAGACCAGCTAAGATTAGCTGAAGGAGAATTTTTTAAATTTGTCATGTTTACACTTTCCCAGTGTTTGACTACTTTTTTGTTTCCAAAAAAGATACTATATTTGTTCTCTATAACAACATTTATGCTATCTCATTTGGGGAATGTGAAAGACATGCACAGTTGTTTACACATAATATTAGATGAGTTATGCTACACTTCTTCAAAAACGATTTTTGGATTTAGCATCTTCTTTCATATCTGGAAACTACAATTGCTTCATAATGTATTCATCAGAAGTGTGATGTGAACAAAGCACCCAAAAAAACATATCCTGAAAATATGTCTATATTAAAGAGGAGCTTCTGGCTTAATTAAACTAACCTTGTTTAATTGTCAGAAAGACAAATGAGGCATATGTTTCAGTTTATCATAAAGTCTTTTAGGGTTGAAATTACCTCATGCTAATATTTATATGCCCATGAATAATATCTAGAAATTTCAAAGCTTTTTATATACTGTCTGAAATCCTTTTAAAGTGGGGAGAGGGATGCCGTGGGAAACAGAATAGCTATTATTCCACAGTTAATAAGTTTGGCAGAGCTAGAAATGGCCTGGTTTTCTTCCTAGTGCAATTTTCTGAATGTTTTTCCCTTGGTACCTACCACTCGGGCTGGCTACAGTCATGCACAGGTACATAGAGTATTTCTTTATGACCTTGCTATCCAGTTGGAATTTCAGCCTATGTGAGTTTATCTTTTTAGTCATTCATTCTCCACTAATACCTAGTGGATTTATAATGTAGTGTGAGGGGCTGTATGTTTTATTAGAAGTTGTATACAAATCTGGTGTGATGGTCAATGTAGTTTTGTCTCATCCTTTGCCACCTTCCCAAGGGACAAACACACTAGCAACCTTAGTGTACTTTTCCATTTCCTTATTATTATGTGTCAATTGGACAGTTTGGTTGAGCAGCAGAATTCAATTCCACCATCATATAGGATTTACTAGGTGCATGCTATGACATGACCCACACTAACACTCCCCATGAGATTTTTCATGTTAGTAGTTCTCAGGATAGGAAGTACAATGGTTTTATCTTCTAACTTGAGTATGACAATATGGCTAGTTTGAATACATCTGAACCTATTAGGTAATCTTGGAATATTTACTCATAGATGAACACCTTGTCAAGTGACTTTAAAACCGTACTTTTGTACAATACTTTATTAGTCACTCTATCCTGAGGTATTATCCCCATTTTACAGGTGAGGAAACGGGCCTAGATCAGCTAAAGAAAATTATTGAAACTCGTGGTCTTATAACTTGCAAAAGTTCAAATCCAGATTTCTTACTGAACTATATTTTCAATAAATGTGGGGAATGAGAAATTCAAACACTGTGACGCCCCCCTCTACCCAAACCCATTTTTCTTTTTTGGCTTTTTGTGATATAAAAATGGTTACAGCACTGGCTGGTCTGGCTCAGCGGTTAGAGCGTTGGCCCTTGGGTTGACGGGTCATGGGTTTAATTCCCACTCAAAGGCATGTACCTGGGTTGCAGTTTCCATTACTGGCCCTAGTTGGGGTTGTGTGGGAGGCAACCCATCGATGTGTCTCTCTCATATCAATGTTTCTCTCTCTCTCTCTCTCTCTCTCTCTCTCTCTCTCTCTCTCTCTCTCTTCTTTCCCTCCCTCCCTTCCATTCTAGCTAAAGAAAAAAAAAAAAAAAAGATGATTCTATTGCCCGGCCAGTGTGGCTCAGTGGATTGAGCGTCATCTCATGGACTGAGAGGTCCCAGTTCAATTCCCAGTCAGAGCACATGCTTGGATTGCAGGCTCGATCACCAGTAGGGGGTGTGCAGGAGGCAGCTGATTGATGTTTCTATCTCTCTCTCCCTTCCTCTCTCTCTAAAAGAAAATCAATAAAACATATTTTTAATTAAAAATGATTCCACTTAATTAAAAAAATGATTGACTAGGTAATATAATCATGTAGTTCAAAATCCAAATGGTACAAAAATTATAGAGTGAAGAGTCCCCCACCCCCTTGTTCCTCACCATCTAATTCCACTACCTGAAGGTATTCACTTATTACTTGTCCTAGAAGTATTTTATTTATATATAATGAATGCATACATATAGTCCCCTCTTTTTTTACTGGTAAGCATACTATATACATTGTTCTTCATCTTGCCATTGCACTAAATATATTTTCAGAATTGTTCAGTAGCAGTCCAGAGATAGAGAACTCAGTCATCTGTGAAATTGCTGCAAAGTTTTCTATTGAGTGGATGTAAGAAATTCATGGACATTTAAGTTGTTTTCAATATTTTGTTATTATAAGCAATGTTGCAGTGAATACACACACACACACACACACACTTGAGAATACAAAACAGTTCCATATATTTCCACTGTTTGTCTTAATGTTAACATCTTAACATAACTCTGGTATATTTGTCACAGCTTGTGAATTTTATCATTAACTGAAGTGCAAGTTTATTTATATTTCCTTAGTTTTTACCTAGGGCCCTTATTCTGTTCCAGGATCCCATCCAGGATATCACAGTGCATTTAATCATCACTATGTCTTTTTTGGTTCCTTTGGCTGTGACCGTTTCTCAGACTTTCCACGTTTTTGATGACGTTGACAGTTTGAAGATTACAGGTCAGGTGTTTTAGTCAGTGTACTTTGAAATTTCCATCTTATTTGTGAGATTAACCTTTTTTTTTTTTTCATATACTTAAGAACATCTGTATTTCCATTTCTGGGAACTAAGAGCCCATGCCCTTAACCACTACGCTATACCCCTCTCTTGATTCAGCATAATTAATAAAACGTTCACAGGCCTGAATACATATGAATTTCTGATTCTCCGGAAGTAAATATCTTGTAAGCCTCTGTTACAGATAGAGAAGAACCATTATCGCAAGTGATGTCGTCAAACTTGTGTCTGATCATTCTGGCTACACTGGAGGATTGATCAGAGGCTCCGCTGGAAACAGCAGGTAGGCCGGATAATAAGTCCTTAGAAGCAGAAGCAGGGCTAATAGGGACACATTTGAGGAAAATTGGGGTTGCCAGGACTTGGTGATACCGAGTGAGGAGGACAAAAAGTCAAAGGTTACTTCTAAGTTTATAAGCTGGATATTTTGGGTGGCTTCCTTTAACCTCTAAAAGAATTCAAGAGAAATATTTGAACAATTTACAACATACTGTACCAGCTACTCACTAGGTACTTTCTCTTTCCGTTTCTTTAGCTCTGCGCTACTACAATTCCCAGAGCCGCGCACTCAACCACAATCCCCTTCGAGTCGGCCGCGCAGAGTTCTGGGACTTGAAGTCCGCGGCTTATTTATCCAAGTTAGAGATAGAGGCCTGTGGAAACATGAAGAGGTAAGGGCTTGTCTGAGCAGGCCGCGAAGGGAGCTCTGTTTTACCTTTTAACTTAAAATGGCTTTTATTACTTTGTGTATGGGCTTTGTCGCGTTCTCGGGGAGCAGTTTCGTGGGAGAGGGAAGACAAAAGAGGAGGGAACGGGGGAGACGGGCCAGGCAGGCCTGCCGCGCGAAGTTCAGGAAGGGCCGCCACCCCTGCCGATTGCCATAGGAATGCCCTTCCAGCCCAGGCATCCCAGCCACGGCGCGGCCCCGGGAGCCCGACGGATGCTGTGGTTTCTTCCAATTGAAGGTGGGCCTACCCAGGTAAAAGGGTCTTGACCGACTGGTGCCTTGCGCTGGAGAAACCCAGGCCGGCTTCCTCCCCACTATCCTCAGAAAGGGGACCAGAGCGGGCGCCTTTATTTGCAAGGCCTGTGTATTAAAGAAAACGCGGGCATGCAGCGTTTTCAAGTCTTAAAGTAAGTCCTACTTTGTTTCTACAAATTTAGAAGGCAAATACAAAACCGATACAATGTCCTAGGAAAAGAAGGCACTGGTGCGAGCGGTTCCCCCTACTGGTTCTGTAGGAAATGGCAGCTTTAACTTGTGTCATTGTTGAAAGCTGGAGCTTCCCAATTAGACTGTACACCAGCCTTTTCAAAGGATCCTCATTAAATTTGCTTTGTATTCCCTCTGCAAGTAGAATAATCTCTCTGGAATAGAGCTGTGTATTTACAATTCTCACTATGTTCTTCTGCACTGTTAGTTTCTCCATCTTTTAAGAAACTGGTTCTGATTTTCCCCCTCTCAAATGACTTTAAAAAATGTTTCTTATGAAATAAATCATACATGTAAAATAATGTATATATACAATTTAAAGACTAATAATAGACTCATACCCACTACAAGCTTTAGACCTGGAGCATTACCAATAACTTAGAAATCCCCAGTGTGCCCCCTCTCTGATTACTTCTCCTCTCTCCCTCCTCGGGAGACTACTTTACAGAATTTTGTGCTAATCATTCCCTTGCTTTAAAAAAATAGTTTTACAACTTAGAGATTTATTCCTAGTTGCTCGTTTTATCCATTTTTCAACTTTATATAAATGGACACGTATTGTATACATTTTTCTGTGACTTCCTTTTTTTTTACTCAACATTTCTTTTTGAGATTCATGTGTACTGATGTATTTAGCTATGATTTATTCATTTCAAAGCCAGTTTAAACTTAGCAAAAACTTTATGAATTCTAATTAATAAATAAAAATTAAGATACTTAAAAAGGATTTTTAAAACCCTGGGTTTAAGTATATTTTAACATTTTCCAAAATAGGTATACTCTTTCTAGGACATGAGAATATTGCTTATAATTATAAGGGTTACTTTTCTAGGCCCCCAAAATAAAGGACTATTTTATAAGAAAGGTATTTTAATATTTATTTTCCTCATGGAGTTAGATCAATTTGTTTTTGTTTTTGTCTTTTATAATCTGTTGTTGCCTACTTAAATGATTCTGCTATTTTTTATACTCTAATAAGTATTTTCAATTATTTATGGTTAGTTGGCTTATGTTAGCATTACCTAGATTTCTACAAAGTAATGCCTACTCTATAAAATGTCATGACCCTTTTTACATTTGTTTCTATGCATTTTCCTTTGGAGAATCCCTTTCATAGCTCCAGATCCTGACACTACAGATGAATTGATTTTTCCATGTGCAGACTGATATACATCTGTGCAACAATTCTCCCATATCCCACTTTCCTTTTAGCCAATAGCACTTATACTGTCATCTCAGACACAATATGTCTTTGAATATTTCTGGCACTTCATGCTGGTGTTTTGATTGTAACAGGTAGTTGACTCAACATGGCTAGAACAATACTGATGTTCCCTTTCCCAAACTATTTATTTCATCTGGAGCTGCTTCTTTCATTCATTGGTACCATTGTGCTCTCGGTTGCACACTTGAAATTTGGAGGTTACCTTTTACTTCTCTTTTACCTCCACCATCGAATTCTTCATTTCTGTCCACTATTACAACTTCAGTTTGGATTTCTGTCACCTTATCCTTGATACATTAAATAGCTTTCCAGTTAGTTCTGGTTTCTTTTCTACTAATCCATAAGGCATGCTATAACCACATTGTTTTCCCTAAAGCATCACTTGTAGTGTGTCACTTAACTGCATAATAAATTACTTTGTAATACCTATACATTGATGTGGCTCAGGCCCCTTAGTTGGTGTATTTAAGGCCATTCACAATCTGAGTCTAATTACCCCTTCAAGATTATCCCCCAGTCATCCCATACTTGAATGTTAGCTAAATTGAACTTTCTCATTATCCCCAGAACATTTCCTCATACTTGCTGTCCCTCTTCTTTCCTTCATTACACCCAGTCCTTTAAATGCCAGCGTAAGTCGTCTTCATTTCTTTCTTCTGTGAACTCCTACTAATTTGACATATTATGCTTCTTTGTGAATTAAAAAATTTTCTTTATTGATTTTTAGAGAGAGAGGAAGGGAGAGGGAGAGAGAGATAGAAACATCGATGAGAGAGAACATCGACTGGTCACCACCTGCATGCCCCCCACTGGGGATTGGACCCACAACCTGGGCATGTGCCCTGACCGGCAATCGAACCAGCGACCTCTTGGTGCATGGGTCGATGCTCAACCACTGAGCCACACTGGCTGGGTTGACATATACTTCTTTGTATTGTCATTCTCCTCTCCTTTGCTCTGCTCCCCTCCTCTTTCTCCCCCTTCCACTTCCCTCCCTGCCAGACACATGCACACTATATATATATATATATATATATATATATATATATATATATATATATTCTCTCCCTAAATAAATTGCTAACTTTTTGAGGATAGGGACTATGTCTTGAATATCTTTGACTCCATCAGTACCTTACCATGTGTTGTGTATAAGTAGGTATTTAATAAATGTTTGCATAATGAATAATAAAATGCAACTGATTGTTAGAAAAGGGTCTTTGAAAAAAATAGGGTCACTAAAGGTAAATAATATAAATGAAGAATATATTTTAATATTTCACTATCTATTCTGCTTTCTACATATATCCCTATGTCTATTCCAGGGTAAACAGCTGTGTGAAGAGTGATGAGCATGTCCTGGAAGAGTTGGAAACAGAAGGGGAGAGGCAGCTGAAAAGCCTTCTTCAGCATCAACTTGACACCTCTGTCTCCATTGAGGAGTAAGTATTGATTTTGTAAACAGGTAGAGTATCATAGACCCTCACCTCCAGGTGATCCCTCTTAAAACCTGGATAGAACACTTCTTTTCCACCTGCCTTTTCTTGGTAAATGTCTATATATTAGGCAAGGTTTTGCTTCTGTGTCTCTTTCTCTACAAATCCTCCCCCATATTCCACTATGTCTAAGCTAAATACTTTTCCTATGTCTTCCCTTAACATATGTAGCACTTAAACCCAATATTATCATTGCCTGTTTACTTGCCTCTCTCATTGTTCTTCCACAAAAATTGAAATCATTTTTATCTTTTTTACTGTTATCCTCACTACCCAGCACATGTCTGATGCATAGTAGATAGTCAATAAATAAATATTTGATTCAGTCATTTATTAGTCCTGGATGAGGGGAGTAGTCTAGTTCGATATTGTTGCAGTGGTGCTTCAACAGGACGAGAGAGAAATTGCCAATTAATTTCATTGTGCCTCTTTTGACAGTGAGCCCTATTTCTGTGAATTGTGGTAACTTGAAGATGTTCTTACTCTCTTCCTTCTTGGTTTGCAGATGTGTGTCTAAGAAAGAGAGCTTTGCTCCTGGTACTATGTACAAGCCCTTTGGGAAGGAAGCAGCTGGGACCATGACTTTGTCCCAGTTCCAAACACTGCATGAGAAAGACCAGGAAACTGCTTCTCTCAGGGAACTAGGGCTCAATGAAACAGAAATCTTGATCTGGAAGAGCCATGTTTCAGGTGAAAAGGTGAGTGGGGCAGTTTTTTCTGAGAACCTTATTTTTAGTTCTCACAAAACTGACCTTTGTGTCTGCATCTTCATTGGTTCCTAGGACAGGGACCAGGGGAAAGGAGAAGCTATCCCTTGACTGATTAGCTACTGCATCTATAAATGCTCATTTCTGGCCCTGATTATCTTCATTCTTGAGGCATCAGACCATCCCTTTCTGGGTGTGTCCTCTGTGATATATACCCTCTCATTTCTCTGGTTCCAGAGGACAAGACTGAGGGCAACTCCTGAAGCAATACAGAACTGCCTTCAAGATATTGAAGAAAGGATCTCGGAACGTCAGCGCATCCTTTGCCTGCCACAGAGATTTGCAAAGAGCAAACAGCTGACTCGGCGAGAAATGGAAATAGAAAAATCTTTATTTCAGGGAGCTGATCGTCACTCCTTCCTTAAAGCTCTTTATTACCAAGGTATGTGATCGCCACTAACTTTGATATGTTCTTTTCCTGAGAGAGAGTTTTACCATCAGTGCATTAAATATGAAGAGTTAGCAGACGGGGGAGGGGAAAAGCAAACTGTTACTACTCTTGAGGAATGTGTAGTCCTGTGAGAGAGATGAGTATGCTCAGAGTTAGTGGCAGTTCAATTACTATTTGTAGATGGGAAGAAAATGCTGAGGGAGCACAGAACATAGAGCATCTAAGTCTAGTTGAGGGGGTCAGGAGTTGACATTTATACTAAGTCTTGATGAATTAACAGACATTTGTCAGGTTAACAAGGGGGAGAGGACACTACAGATAATAGGAACAGGATTGTGAAAGGACCTGGTGTGTCTAGGGAACAATGAAAAGTTCAGTGTGGCAGGTAGTATAGGACTTGGCAGGGAATTAATTACAGGGAATGACACTAGAAAGGTAGGTAAATAAAAGATCTTTAAACTGAATTATAGATTAGCACAATATATATAGAGAAATGATCTGTGTCTTAAACAGAAAGAATGAGTTTCACAGATAAGTTTTACTAGTCACTGTGGAAGGTGCACAGAACTTTAAGAAATGGTTCTTGACTTAGTGCCAATTACAGTCTGGTTTGCGAGAAACATGACATTTTAGTAACAACGCTAGATACAGTTGTTAAGTGCTATAGGAATTCAGAGGAAGGAAAGGCACTGTGCATTGGCATGACTGAAGAAGGCCTCTCAGAGGAGGTAAGACTTAAATGTTCTTTTAATACTACCTGTTCTTTAGGAAAGAGAGGGAAAGGCATTTCTGTTGCAGCAGATGTTGTGAGCACTATGGTGTGTTCGGGTGTGTTGTGAGAGACAAGGTAGCCAACATTTTTTACTTTGATGGGCAGTATAGAGTTAGTTATTCATTTAGTTAGTTTGGATATGGTTTAAGGTTTTTGAGCCAGGAGTAACATGAGAAAAGCAGTATTTGAAAATGATTAATCTGGTGACCATGAAATACAGGGTGGGGCAAAAGTAGGTTTATAGTTGTTTGTTTGGAAAATAATACAGTGATTAATAAATAATACAAGAATAAGCTCTGTGTTTTGCATACTCACAACTGTAACCAACTTTTGCCCCACCCTGTGTGATGAGAGAGAGGAAGAGTTGGACGCAGGGAAATGATTTAGGAGATAATACAGTCCTTTAGGCATGAAGATATGGACTAGAATGATGGCAGTGGAATTGGAAAGAGTGGTAGGTATGGTTGTAAGAGTCATTACAAAAGAAGAACTGAAAAAACTTGTTAACAGGCTAAAGGAGGGTGGTCAGTGGAGAGGAATGTGTCAAAGGTAATCCATATGTTTCAAGACTGTGTGAGTTAACAGTTGTCAAAATTAAGAAAGCTTTTATGTGGAAATTTTGAGGAACATAATGAGTTTGATTTTGAACATGTTGAATTAGTGAGAATGGCAGGATCATTAAATGCAGATACTGAGGAGGCAGTTAGAAATGCAACAGTGAAACTCAGGAGAGAGGTCAGAACTAGATCTATAGAATTGGGAATCATCTATGCTTAGATCAGAGGTAAAGCCATGAGATTGAATGAATGATTTGTTAGAGACCTTAGACATGGAAGAGCAGTGGTGAAGGAAGGAAAAGAACAAATGAATAGCCTTTTGTAGAGAGACATTATAGCATACTGATTAAGAACATGGGTTCTGGAGGCAGACTCCTGGGAAAATTCTGGTTCCCTACTTACTAGTTCTAAGATTTTGGGCAAGTTACCACTCTGTGCATCAGTTTCTTTGTTTGTAAAATGAGACTATTAATGGTAGCTATATAGTAGGATTGTTAGGAGGATTGAAGTAATACATGTAAATCACTTAGAGCAGTACCTGGTATTTGGGGGTGGGTGGGTGGTGTATGAATCTGTTCTGTTTCCTGTCTTTGAAACTCCTTGCTTTAAACCTTCACAGCATACCACAAAAAGACAAGTGCAGACAAGTACATGACCTCAATGAAGAGGAAGATAAAATTAGGCACAAAAGGCAAGTCGAGAGTTTTCTTACAGTGTTAGATTTAGGAATGTAATCTAGGGTCCCAGACAAGTTGAGTGCTTATTTAATTCCATATCCAGTATATGACAATGTTTATAGGAAATGATCCAAGGGGAGCATATTATCCTGATATAGAATATTAAACAGAGGAGCTAGTAGAAGCTTTTACATTTAGTGTTGTTGAGTTTTTTCTCTATATCTTTAAGTTACTGTACCAGACATAAAACAACTTTAATGATGTTTACATCCTATTTCACAAATCTGAATATTTTAATCAGTAAAGTATAACTATTGATGATGATGATATAATAGATAATATTTTATTTTATTTTTTAAATGAACTTACAATAAAATTGCCTAATTTGTGTGTGTGTGTGTGTGTGTGTATGTACAATTCTGTGAATTGTAAATCATGTAGATTCATGTAATCACCACTACAGTCAGTATAGAAAACAGCTCCATCACCCTAAAACTTCCTCATACTGTTCATTGATAGTCACTCCCAACTCCATCCATAATCTCTGGCAATCACTGATCTGTTTTCCATCACTGTAGTTTTTGTCTTTTAGAGAATGTCATACAAATAGAATAACAAGATATGTAATCTTTTGAGAGTAGCTTCTTTCTTTCAGTGTAATGACTTTGAGTTTCATCTTAGTTGTGTGTATCAGTAGTTCATTCATTTTGCTGAGTAGTATTTCATCATATGGATGTTCCAAAGTTTGTTTATCCATTCACCCACTGAAGTGTATTTGAGCTGTTTTCAGGTTATGGTGATTATGAATAATACTAATGTGAACATTCTTGTACAGGTTTTTGTGTGAACATAAAATTTTTATTTCTCTAAGGTAAATATCTAGGAGTGGGATTACTGGGTCATATGGTAAGTGTTTAACTTTATAAGAAACTTCTAAACCATTTTCCAGAGTGGCTGAATCATTTTGCATTCCCACCAGCAATGTATGAGAGTTCCAGTTGCTCTACATCTTTGTCAGCATTTGGTATTGTTGGTAATTATTTTAGTTATTCTATTAGCTGTGAAGTGGTATCTCATTGTAGTTTTGATTTGCATTTCCTTAGTGGCTAATGATGTTGAACATCTTTTCATATGCTTATTTTCCATTATATCCTGTTTGCTATAATGTCTGTTCAAATCTTTGGCTGTTTTTTAATTGGGTTGTTTATTTTCTTCCTGATGACTCTTGAGAGTTCTTTATATATTCTAAACACAATTTTTCATTGGATATCTTATTTGCAAATATTTTAACTCAGTATCTAGCTTGTCTTCATTCTTTTAACATTGTCTTTTGTAGAACAAGTTTTTTATCGTGGTAAAATATATCGGACTAAAATTGACTTTTTAAAACATTTTTTAAAGTGTTCAGTTCTAGGGCATTAAGTATATTCACATTGTTGTGCAACCGTCACCACCATCCATCTACACAATATTTTCATCTTCCCAAACTGAAACTCTGTACCCATTAAATATTAACTCCCCATTCCTCCCTCTCTTCAGCCCCTGGTAACCACCATTCTACTTTCTGTCTCTATGAATTTGACTATGCTAGGTACCTCATGTAAATGGAATCATATAGTATTTGTCCTTTTGTGTCTGGTTTATCTCACTTAGCATAATGTCTTCAAGGTTATCCATGTTGTAGCATGTGTCAGAATTTCCTTCCATTGTATGGATACACCACATTTTTTAATCCAGTCATCTATCAATAGACACTTGTGTTGTTTCTACCTTTTGATTATTGTGAATAATGCTGCTATGAACCTGGATGTACAAATATCTATTGAAGTCCCTGCTTTCAATTCTTTTGAGTAAATACCCAGAAGTAGAATTGCTGGATCATATGATAGTTCTATGTTTATTTAATCTTTTGAGTAACCACCATACTGGTTTCTATAGAGGCTATATCAATTTACATTCCCACCAGCAATGCACAAGGATTCCAATTTATACCCTTGCCAACACTTATTTTCTTTTATTATTTTTTATAATAGCCATTCTAATGTACGTGAAGTGGTATTTTCTTATAGTTTTGTTTTGCATTTCCCTTTTGACTAGTGATGTTGAGCATCTTTTCATGTGCTTTTTGGCCATTTGAATATCTTTGGAGAAATGTCTAATTCCTTTGCAATTTTTAAATGGGTTATTTGTTTGTTTGTTGTTGGGTTGTAGGAGTTCTTTATATATTCTGGATATTGACACCTTATCAGATATATGATTTGCCAATATTTTCTTCCATTCCTTGGGTTGCCTTTTCACTCTGTTGATAGTGTCCTTTGATATACAAAAGTTTTATTTTCGATGAAGTCCAGTTTCTCATTTTTTTCTTTTGTTACCTGTGTTTGTGCTATCATATCCAATAAATCACTGTCAAATCTAATGTCATAAAGCTTTTCCCCTGAGAGTTTTATAGTTTTAGCTCTTACATTTAAGTCGTTAGTCCATTTTTAGTTACTTTTAAGTCTTTAGTCCATTTTGAATTACTTTTTGTATATGGTATAAAATAAGGGTCCAACTTCATTTTTTAAATGTTGGTTAGTTTTTCCAGTATTACTTGTTGAAAAGACTGTCCTTCCCCATTAAATGGATGTAGCACCCTCTATGAGAATCATTTGGCCATTAATGTGAGAGGTTCTCCATTCTATTCCATTGGTTTATATTTCTGTCTTTATGCCAGCACCACACTGTTTAAATTGCTGTATATTTGTAGTAAGTTTTGAAATCAGTAACTTTGTTCTTTTTAAAGATTGTTTTTACTAATTGTGGTCTCTTGAAATACCATATGAATTTTGGGATGGCTTTTTCTATTTCTGTAAAAATTGTTCTTGGGATTTTGATAGAGATTATATTGAACCTGTACATCACTTTGGATAGTATTGCTATCTTAACAATATTAAGTCTTCAATCCATGAACATGGATGTCTTTGCATTTATTTGTGTTTTAATTTCAGCAACATTTTGTAGTTTTCAGTGTACAAGTTTTTGCCTCAGCAAATGTTTTATATTTTGATACAATCTATTTTGTCAATTTTTTCTCTCATGGATCACGGTTTGTTTTTCTCACGTCTAAGAACTCTTTTTCTAACACCAGATTATGAAAAAGGTATTTTTTCTGTGTTTTATCAAACAGTTTTATAGTTGTATATTTTACATTTAGATCTATGATCCATTTTGACTTTATGTTTAAGGTATGAGGTTTAGGTTGAGGTTTACTTTTTTTGTCTATGAATGTACAATTGTTCCAGCACTAATTGTTGAAAAGAATATTCTGTCTCCATTTACTTGCTTTTGCAGTTTTGTCAGAAATCTGGCCATATGTTTGTGTTAATATTGAGCATCATAATTAATGGTGAAAGATTGAAAAAAATGTCCCCCAATATCAGGAATAAGACAAGGATGTCCACTCTCCCCACTTTCATTCACAGTTGAATGAAATTAGAAATCAATTATAGAAAGACATTGCCCTGGCTGGTGTGGCTCAGTCGGTTGCAGCATCATCCCATACACTGAAAGGTTGTGGGTTTGAGTCCCAGTCAGGGCACATACCTTGGTTACAGGTTCAATCTCCAATTGGGGCATGTACAGGAGGCAACCAGTCAATGTTTCTTTGTTGCATTGATGTTTCTCTCTCTCTCTCTCTCTCCCCCCCCTCTCTAAATCAATAATAAAAAACTAATAATAGAAGGATATTAGGAAATCTACAAATATGCGGCAATTAAATAACACTCTACTTAATAACCAGTTGATCATAAAAAGTCACAAGGGGCATTAGAAAATACTTTGAGATAAAAACAAAACGATGTATCATAACTTATGAAATGCAGTAAAAGCAGTATTTAGAGGGATATTTAAGGTGTAAATGCCCATATTAGTAAAGAACAAAGATCTCAAATTAGTAATCAAAACTTCTACCTTAAGACACTATAAAAATTTGTTGAAACCCATAAAATGCACAATACCAAGGTTGAACTGTAATGTAAATTATGGGCTAGGTTATTATGATGTGTCAATGTAGGTTCATTATTTGTAAAAAATGCAACCACTCTAATGGGAGATATTGATAATGGTTGAGGCTATGCATGTGTGGGGACTGGACTGTGGAAAATATTGTTACCTTCCCTTCAATTTTGCTATGAATCTATAACTGCTCTAAGAAAATGAAGTCTTAATAAAATAAGAAAAAAAACTACAAAAAGAAGAGCAAACTAAACCCACATCAGGCTGAAGGAAGGAAATAAAAAAGATTAGAGCCAAAATGAATGAAATAGAGAAAACCAACAAAGCAAAAGTTGTTTTTTTGGAAAGAGCAACAAAATTCACAATCCTTTAGCTAGACTTACTAAGGAAAAAAGAGAAAACTCAAAATTTTTATACCCTGCTTTATTTCGATTTTTTTTCATTGAATATTTTTTGTCCATCCTTTTACTTTCAACTTTTGTAAAAAATCGAAATTAGTTAATAGTTAAATCATGTTTTCTTTTAATCCATTCTTCAATTGAGTAGAGTGTTTATTTATATTTAATGCATTTAATTGGAATTAGCTTATAAAGTATGCTTTACAAAATCTGCCATTTTGCTCTTTGTGTTTTTGTATCTTTTTTGTTTCTTTCTCACTCCATTTATTTCTTAACGTTAAATAGGTATTTCTAGTATATCATTTTAATATATGTAATATTTTAATAGCTTGTTGCTTCTTTTACTATTTTTAAAGTTACTTCTTAGTAGTTGCCCTGGGGACTATAATTAACATCTTAGCTTAAACAAATTAGTTTGTATTAATAGCAAGTTAATTTCAGTAATATTCAAAAATTTATTTTTTGTTTAGGTCTGTTCTTTTCTTCCTCCATTGTACTGTTATTGTCATACAAGTTGCATCTTTATACATTTTAAGCTCATCAACATTTTTTTTCCAATTTTATTTTATTTTTGACAGTATTACAGATGTCTCCATTTTCTCCCTTTTTGCTTCAGTCCA